CACATATTAATATTTAATTTTGAGCGTCATTAGCATAGTTATCATCTTGATGAAAAGCATGCCAAGATACTTGGCCAATAGCATTAGTTTCCAACAACTGTGGTACGGCAATCATTTGCATTGCATTGTTTATCATTTACGTTGTCGAGTAAATGAACCAGACCCTGGCTAAAATAGGTTTATAGTAATAGAAAACCCCGTTTATTTGACAAATAAAATTAGCAACATAGGGGCAGAGCATGTCATTAACATACTTTTTTCAATCGTATAATGAATGCTGTGTTGCGTTGTTTATAGTATCCATAACTTAGATTATAACAAATCCATGCACCTTATTGATAATAAACTTTATACAGTTCTCTTTCTCGACAATGGTTATTTAACAATTGAGAATTTTATCATTCTTTGATTTTCCAACGCTGCTACCTTGTCTGCACGCTTTGTTTACTATTTTGATTAAAAGGAACATTCGCTCTTTGACTTAATGAACTGATTCGCGAGATGTTTCTAACATTTTCTGCATAGATCTTTCTTATGTCCAGTTTAAGATGTGAACCACAAAGGCAATTGGTCAAAATTACATTGATTTATAATGTTCCCTCGAATCTTTGATCCGATCCATGCAATTCATGCAATACCATTATCTGTACTACCTGGCTGTACTTAATTGTTCGGTTTTCAATATGATTCCCGGTTACCCGAGTTACACACAATATAAGCATCAAGGTATTGCTATGGAATGTTTGGTACACGCATCACGCCAATTACCTTTTATATCATGCAGAATTCTCCATGGAAAAGTCCATACGCCCACTCGGCGGAACAAGAAATGATAGAAAAACGAGGGGATTTTGCTTTACTCAGGACACAGGAAATATAGTTTACTTATATTTACTAAAACCGATCTAACTAAAGATCCTCTTCTTCTACGATCAACAAATACTACTTATTTACGTATTTGTGGTGAGTTTTCTATTCACTGTTTGGAAAAAAAAGTTTTTAGTTCAAAAAAAAAATAAGCCGTACTGGATAAAGCCATTTTAAAGGATCATGTTCTATGGTTCAAAATATCATTGACATGTTCTTTGAAAACGCGCGCGAGTTGAAGCGTTTGCTTATACACATTTGCCCTTGTTATACCACACGAATAAATTAATTCAGGTATCTTTTGTACGCTCCGTTTTCGCAATGCAGACTCTGTTCGGACTATGCCATTTTCTACCTCGAGTGAGCGCACCCCGCTTCTTGATCGCGATCAAGACAGCGGCCCATTCGCTTTTACGCCCGAACAGCTTTATAAATTAGTTGACCCGAAAAACCCCAATTTGTTGAAATCGTATGGTGGTGTGAAGGGTATTACCGATGGTCTTCGTGTCAATCCTGATACTGGTTTGAGTTCGGATGAAGGACTAGATAATCATCGTCTGCCATTTGAAGAGCGGAGAAAAGTTTTTGGAAAGAATGTATGATGAAACATTAATGTCTGCTAAACTTAATTGAGAGATTGGGTTTTCAATAACTTTTTGTATGATGTGTAGGTTTTACCCGACGTGGCACAGCAGAGTTTCCTCTCTTTAGTGTGGGAAGCGTATAAAGACAAAACGCTAAGTAAGCAATGAAGAAAAAAAAAGTTACATACTACAACCTATAGATTAATTTATTTTTAAAACTCTTAGTCATGCTTAGTATCGCTGCCATAATCTCGTTGGCAATTGGAATTAGCGAAGATTTCTCTGCTCGTCATCCTGAAGATGAGCCACGTGTCGGATGGGTTGAGGGTAAGAAATGCCATTCTAAAAAAGTACTGACTTGGACGCGTTATGACGTATATAATCTCTAAAATCATATGTAAGAATGCCTACTAAAATGCTATTTGTATAATAGGTGCGGCCATTGTTGCCGCCGTCGCTGCCGTCGTGTTCACAAATGCCATAAACGATTATTCAAAGGAAAAGCAGTTTAGAAAACTCAACGCAAAGAAGGAAGATCGCGATGTCAAAGTAGAGTATTTGTTCTTGTCTTAATATATAAGCGATCACGTTGCACCGGTTATACTCACTCGCTTTTGCAATTTCATGTACTCCCCTTTCCCCAACCCCTTTCCCCAACAGCTAATTCGCAACGGCAAAGAACAGCAGATATCCGTGCACGAAATCAATGTTGGGGATATCATGCTTCTCGAACCAGGTGACATTATCGCGGTCGACGGTATTTACATCAGCGGTCATAATCTAACATGCGACGAGTCGAGTGCAACCGGTGAATCGGACACCATGAAGAAAAACGCCCTAGAAAGTAACGGCGATCCAATTATCCTGAGTGGTTCCAAAGTTCTCGAAGGAGTAGGCAAAGCAGTTGTAATTGCAGTCGGACCTAATTCTTTCTTTGGAAAGACCATGATAGCTCTTCGTGGGAGCGAAAACGACGAAACCCCCCTTCAGATGAAACTAGATTTACTTGCTGAACAGATTGCCAAACTCGGTATATGCGCCGCTTTGCTCATGTTGATTACCCTTACGGCAAAATACTTTATTACTGCCGCCATGGGTGACGAGTTTCCTGATGTTGCCGATATATTGCCTGCCATTATTTCTATTGTCATTCAGGCAATTACCATCGTGGTCGTTGCCGTTCCCGAGGGATTGCCTATGGCCGTCGCTCTCGCTCTTGCGTACGCTACCACTCAAATGTTAAAGGATAACAACCTGGTGCGTGTGTTATCTGCATGCGAGACTATGGGCAATGCAACTACAGTCTGTTCCGACAAGACGGGTACCTTGACGCAGAATAAGATGACTGTGGTTGAGGGCAAAATCGCTCAGGAGACCTTTGAAGGTATAGATCAGATTAATGGTTGGAAATCGAAAATTAATGATGCGGTATTCGATGTGCTTGCAGAAGGTGTTGCTATCAATTCATCTGCGTTCGAAGACAAAGATGAGTCCGGGAGAGTTGACTTTGTTGGGTAAGTGATATAAAAAAGTAGGAGCAAAGTTTATTTTGCGAAGAGGTTATGTATTATCTATCGCCGGTCCTAATTCATCTTATCTAACGTGTCAGATCAAAGACGGAATGCGCGCTTCTTGGATTCACAAAACGCTTTGGAGTAGACTATAGAGAACGTAGATCTGCAGTTCAAGTAGAAAAGGTCTATCCATTTGCCTCAAAGAAGAAAACAATGACAACAATTACTAAAATTACTTCCAACGCACCTGGAAAGTCTGATCCTAGTGCCGAGTATCGCGTTCATGTGAAAGGAGCATCTGAGATTGTTCTTAAATCGTGTAACCGTTATATTGACGCCAAGGGTCAAGTTAAAGAGCTAGACGGAAATTCCAGACATCAGTTCGAGATCACAATCACCATGTTCGCGGACAAAGCTTTGCGCACTATTGGTATAGCATACAAAGACGTAACTTCCAGTGAGCTCAAGAAATTCAATGATGAAGATGCTCCGAACGACAATTTAATATTGTTGGGAATAGTTGGTATACAAGATCCGTTGCGTCCTGATGTGAAACGATCGGTCGAGCAGTTTAAGAAAGCCGGAGTATTTGTAAGGATGATTACTGGTGATAATATATTGACTGCACGAGCCATTGCTCGTGATGCTGGTATTCTGACAAAAGGAGTCGCACTAACTGGTCCGGAATTCCGTGCAATGTCGGCTGATGAACAGCGCAAAATTGTGCCTCGTCTTCAAGTGCTCGCTCGTTCTTCCCCAACTGACAAAACCATCGTTGTCAGTCGGTTAAAGGAATTGGATGAAATTGTTGCGGTGACTGGAGACGGTACCAATGATGGACCGGCGTTGAAAATGGCTGATGTTGGATTTAGTATGGGTATTACTGGTACTGAAGTTGCCAAGGAAGCTTCATCGATTATTCTGATGGATGACAGTTTCAGTTCTATTGTGAACGCTCTGAAATGGGGACGCGCTGTTAATGATAGTGTAAGAAAGTTTTTGCAATTCCAGCTTACGGTTAATATCACGGCTGTCATACTATCGTTTGTCAGTGCTGTTATGAGCGATGACAGCGAGTCTATTCTCACCGCAGTTCAATTGCTTTGGGTTAATCTGATTATGGATACGCTGGCCGCTCTCGCATTGGCGACGGAGCCCCCGACCGACGAGGTGCTCGACCGATATCCAACTTCGAAAAATGCTTCATTGGTCAATTATCGTATGTGGAAGATGATTATTGGACAGGCTATATTCCAGATTGCCGTTAACTTGACATTACTCCATATTGGACCAGCAATCTTTCATTTGTCGAATTCACCCCATGACAAAGCGGTTCTTCGCACAATCATTTTCAATACATTTGTGTTCCTCCAAGTATTCAACGAAATCAACTGCCGTCGCATTGATGATCATTTGAACGTATTTAGCAATATATTCAACAACCATGTGTTTATCCTTATTCAACTTATAGTGATTACCGGTCAATTCTTTATCGTGGAGTTTGGAGGAGTTGCGTTTGGCACTGTTTCACTTAATTGGTGTCAGTGGCTTGTCACAGTGATCATTGGATTCCTATCTCTTCCCATTGGAGTAATAATTCGATTGCTGCCTAACTGGTGTGTTCCTGAGCATATACTTAACGAAGAGGTTAAGCCAATGACACCAGAAAAGATGGTGTGGCAATCGGCTTATTATGACGTTACGAAACGCATGAGAGTATTTAACGCTCTCAGGAGACCTCCACGTAAGAGCTCTAGCAAGCCGAAAATAGACAAAAGGAGCGGCAGTGGCGATGCTTCGAACAAGTTTGCTGACGTAGTTCGGGGGGCGATGGTGAATAGACCTAGCAACAATGCTGATTAACGTGATATGAAGAAAGAGAACATGGTGAAATATAATAAATGTATTTTATTCCTCATGTCTTGAAACGTTTGGTTTGAGGGGTGTAACTTTTTCTTGTCGGGGCTATCGTAAACTATTTTTATTATGGATAAAACATTGTTTCATTGTCCCGTGTCTGCTAAATTTCTTGGCATCACACAAGCACACCCTTATACTCTGCTTGCGAATATTGTCTTTCTAAATAAGGCCATTGAACGAGAAACGTGTCTACGAATCGTATCAGCAGTCTTCCTGATAATGATAGACTTTTCACTCTAGCAAACGATTCTACATAGATCAAGTAAATACGCTTGATGCCTAAAATCTGAAATTTATTGTTAGCGGCTTCGTTTAACCGTGGGGATGGATTTCCCAAAACGGTTACTTACTCTGTGAATATACGAAATAACACAGACGGGAACACATATGCCCGGGCCATTGCATATGATCTAAGAATAATGCAACAGATGAGTAAAGCGAAACGTACAACGTAAAATAAAGGATGTGGAAACATACCAAATCAGGAGTTTCCCATAACACAACTTTCGTGGAAGCAATTAGTGCCTTGGCAACACTAAATGGCGTTGTAAGCCAAGACTCTCCCACATGGCGCGCTCGTGGAATGCGTACAATCCTATACTTTTTACCAATTTAAGTATCTTTTGTCTTTAATCAAATCACTCTCTTATGTAAGCATCCTCTCAATACCTACGTCTTCACCCTCCGCTCCACCCTTTGCGGTCTCCAAATCTTGTACCTTTTTTACGCTTAGTGTATCATTAGAAGAAACTATATATAGTCGTGGTCTGTATTTGGTAGCATAGTCTAGACCTTTAAGAAGTTGAAGCATCTCCATTGTGTGTCCGCCTGGAAAGACAGGAAAGACCGTGTTTGGGAAAAGCATACCTCCCCTTTTTTTGCGAGCGTTGAAAGTTTATACAGAGCTTGCCACGCAACTTACCCGAACCAAGAACTATACATGATTTACATGGTTTGCCGAGTTTCGGTTTGAACTTTTTTGTCGGGAGAGCCTGCACTATTCTGAATACAAATATGGTTATTACCAATAATGCGAAAAGATAGGAATACATTGAATACTGAAATTTAGAAAGAATTTTTCCAAATAAACCAGTTACTAGCTTTTTCATTCGTCAGAATGTCTCGGAATTGTCCCCTCCATCTCTATCGCCACGCCATCCGCTTCATCCGTTCTCAGTCTTTTCCAATCCCCTATCTACGCTCAAAATTGCTCTACAATACACGAGAATTGTTTGAAATCTATCGCGGAGAAGAGGATGAGAAGAGAATTCAAGAATTGATTGATTGGGGTTATCAAGATTTGGATATGATAAAAGCGTGGGGACGTGTGGATCAAAGTATCAGAGATGAGATATTCAGAGGATTTGGAAGTAGCAAAGACGTTAAAGGAAGTGAGTAGGATAATAAGCATGAGAAGAGGAAAGGATCAGAACTATTGATACTATCTAATGGGTAAGCACTCATAGTGTGGCGGGCAAACTGGTAGTATTTTATGTCCTTTCAGACTAAGGTATTATACTATTAAAGCAGAATAACAAGACAGAGAAGTAATACAGTTGAAGCCATGGGTACATACTCGTCAAGAACAAGAGCAAGAAACAAAACAATGTATTATTAAAGACACCCAATCGGATTACATTATTATCACGAGAACACTGTCGATAAAGCAAAATATCAAATACGCCTTTGTTTTGTAGTGTTCTTCAAATGTCTGTCACCATGTTTTCGTATTTAATATGACAAGATTCGTCCCCCCCCAATGTTCATACATCTCGTCATAGTTAAATTATACAGCTACATTTAAATAGATCGAATACGTATAAACCAAGTCTACCGTCTATTACGTTCCATCATGGACGAATCCTCCAAGCTTTCAACCCCATGCAGCACCCGAACAGTAATTTATTATTAAATGACCGTCTGTACTAAAGCACTGAAGAGATCCGGATGAAGAAAGCGGATGAGTAAAAAAAGTTGTACAAACAAACGGCAGGAAAAACTTTATCGTACCTTATGTAGATTAGCAACTATCTCATCAGGAGCGGGCGAAAACGCGCTGTTGACGTATAGGAACTGTCGTGTACAGATACGTGACTCGTAAGGAATGCATTCCAATAAAATTCTCTAGACATGCTGAACAAAAAAGAAGACATACCAGCGGGTCCTCAGTTTTGTACTGAAGTTCCTTTCTAAGAAACTGAATCACAGCTTGGAACTTGTTAGATGCGGTTATTTTATAAAAATTCTGCTTAAGAATAGGCGCATTTCCAATAGCTCTAAACCGCACTACGACTGTTTACAAATTCCGGAATCACCCACATTAGCGCCTCACCACAAAAATCCAGATCAATATATCGTTTAACGTGCCTTTATTTGTGTCTTTTTTTCTATACTTATCCAGTACGGAAGTAGAAACGTTGACTGACGACGAGGAGGAATTGGGCAGACTTGGATTTAAGAGTGGTGAGGAAGACATGTCAACCTGACTTTTTCGTTGAGCTGTAGTTGACGGTAACACGAGAAGAATTAATTGTTTATTCTATGTGTCACGTGTTATCAATAGTATATTACTGGCAACGCCCATTCTCAAAACGTCACATAAATTTACAGTTATCTTGGCTTATTGTTCAAAGACATCAACCTTTACATATTTATCCGGGCCGGGCAATATTTCCATCACCTTCCCTTCCTATATAATAGCATTTGCCCCCCCAACTATTCCATATTTACACACACCCACATATTTACATATACACAGACATTCCATCTTTTCGTATTCTTTCATATACAAATAATGATCTCGGTGAAGGACCGAACATCTGAATTTCATGCGGCAGTGGACACGATCAAGAACAGATCCTTTGGCGGATCGTTTCACGCACGAAACCTAGAGCACCGTCGACCGCTGTTGAACGAGACTAGGGAAAATGGAAAAGGAAGGACGAATAAGAGCGAGTTTTCTAAAATGGCTGCTGCCATTGGGAGGGATATTAATGCTACCGCTGGGAAATTGCAAAAGTTGACAAAGTGTAAGTCGAAAGGTGTTTAATTTGTTGGTTAAATGAAAGAGTAGGGTGAATTAACTGACTTGAGTAGAATATGTTGTCTGACGAGGACATCTTGTGAAATGTTACTAATCTAGAACATTTATGTAGTGGCAAAGCGAAAGACTCTGTTTGATGATCGACCTGTTGAGATCAACGTGAGTATTCCTTGGGTCATTCATTTTTAAACTGTATTTTTTCACTTGTCCGGGTTACATTATTCTTATTGATGGTCCTTCTTTTTTTTTCCATCACAGGAATTAACCTACGTTATTAAACAGGATATTGCAAAATTAAATAAACAAATTGCCCTCCTCCAGCAGTACGTGCGAGATCAACGGGAAAATAACAAGCAGGCCGATGAACATTCATCTAATGTGGTTGTTTTATTACAATCAAAGTTGGCAGATACGAGTATGAGTTTCAAGGATGTACTGGAAATTAGAACACAGGTACTGTTTAGTGCGAGTTAGAAATGGGATCAAAGAAGACACTATAAGGAATTATGTTAATGCGTTGATTTTTTTTGCTTCGTTTAGAATATGAAAGTAACAAAAGACAGAAGAGAACAGTTTATGTACACCACTCCGCAGATATCAAGCATGCCATCAGGTAGGTTTTATGTTCTTATTACTGCGAAGTTTCTTACAACTTTGCTAATCCTTACTAAATTGTCAATACCATATTAGCGGATTCACCCTTATACAACACTCAACGACACAATGAGCAACAGAACACAGATTTTCTCGCTCTGGATATGTCTAATGGGCAGGCCCAGCAACTACAACTTATTGAACAACAGGTAAACCCATGTGAGAAAACAAGAGGAATAACAAAAGTAAGGGATGATGTTTTAAATCAATATTTAACATCTGGTTTTTGTTTGTTAAAGGATAATTATATTGGGAGTCGGGCTACAGCAATCGAATCTATCGAGTCGACGATAGCTGAGCTTGGAAATATCTTCCAGCAATTAGCAACAATGGTTGCCGAACAACGAGAGACGGTTCAGCGGTAAGCATATTGGGTTTAAATATGAATGATTGGCGTATACTAGGGAATTATTCATCGTTCAATCGCTGACATTGATCACATTCCATTAGAATTGACGCTAATACGGAAGACATACAGATGAGCGTCGAGGGCGCGCAAAAAGAGCTTTTAAAATATTATGCAAGCATTTCTTCTAACCGGTGGCTAATGCTAAAGATATTTGCTGTCATAATAGTTTTCTTCTTGATTTTTGTTGTAGTGACTTGATTTAAGATTACTGGTTTAAATAATATTTTGCGTTGGTATTTTGGTTTATAAAAATTTAATTGGTTTATTGTTTAATCATTGCAAAAAGAACAATTTATTCTAATAATTAGACGTTTTGAGTATGAATAGAAAAACAAGCAACAAAGGAACACATGGGGATATATAATGTCTTGCACTAATTTTGAGTTCAAAGAGCGGGAGGTGACTTATTGCAAAGCTCTAATATAGACTCGATTGGTTATATCACAAACCCCGGCCACGTTCTTCTTGCTAGTAAACACCAGGAATAAAAATATAGGGGACTTTTTTACAATATTCCTCCCAATCTTTTCCATATTTTCTGGCACATCTGTGCATATCTCTACTGACTCTATGTATTAACACTATAACAAAGAACACCGGGTAGAAGAACGGAATTACTGTCTCAAATCCGGTGATGAATGCCCATGAAAAGGCCATTATGAGGTCAGCTGTATAGTGTATCTTCCGAGCAATGCTCCACCATCCACCCGTGAGGAGAAGATTGCCTTGTTGAGTCTTGATGAATGTTGGGTTTTCTAGCGTACCCCAAGGAAGTTGAGGAAAGGCATATCGGGAAATATAAGTGCCATTCATGATCATGCGGAAACGGTTCTTTTGCGAGTTTGCTGTGTCCCTATTAAAAAAGTTTTGAGAATTTGCGATCGTGTTAATAAAGATAACGACTTGTTATATCGGTAAATTTCTTCTCGTCCAAAGTTAACCATTGATAAACAGGGGTATGGCATGTAATGGCGGGGATACACGATATAATTGGAAAGAAATTTACCAAATGTAATATCCTACGAGTAATAGCACGTAACAGAATACGGTGAATCCTAGTGAATGCTCCACCGGTTTGTTATTGTTGATGCTTGAAATATGGAGATACAGTGTTGAATAACAATACGTGAATGGAACTGAAAGAGAATAAAAAATTTAAATTATTAATAATAGTTACTAATGATGACATCAATGACTGCCCCATTTAATTACCTCCAGCGAGATTCCAGAATATAAGCATAAATCCAAACTGGTTTGTATAGGATAAATGTTATCAATATTGAATGCAATGACGCGTGTACTCTAAAAAATTTTTTAACAATACCTTCTCATAGGTCATATCCCACGTTGTAGGAATGCACTCTTCACCTTTCATACATGCGTTTGTATATAAGAAGTGAGCAAGCACCATAAACCACATTGGTGCTGATACATATCCAAACAATTCATATTGCTTCACAGCTGCCGATATTGTGATGAAGAATAGCAAAACCTACAATCAAATTCGAGTCAGTACGGCAAAACAGTTGAAATTAGGTTTGAATAAATTATTTGCTTCAATCATATATATTACATACGTTGTGCTGATCGCGTGTTATTATCAATAATCAATCTATGTTAACCTCTCTTGCATATTCTACTGAACTCTAAATATCTAACTCTTCGATGATATCAAATATTATTAATTGGAAATTACCTTCATGAACCAGAATCGTTTATAATAAAACCCTTTTATCTCTTTAACACCATTTCTCTCCCCAATTCTTTCATATTTCGTCCACTTACCCAGGTAATTCTGACCTCAGCAAACATCTTCAAATCAACATGCCGTATCCTCGGATTTAATGGCGCTCCCATGAATAAATCATACATCAAATACCCAGACATTCTGTGCTGCTTGTTTGTCGCGACAGCAATCACGTATATCATAATTGTAAGAATGAATGCAGTCATAATGGCTGCGGTCATTAAATGTCCAAACTCATCGATCACCTCGGAAAGCCTAAACCATCCATTTAAATGGAGAACGCACGACACGATCAAAGTGGCATACCATGACGTCAGTCCGTTACAAAGGTAATCCAACTTCCGTCCCTTTAAAGACGGCACTGGAGCGCCTTGAACGATAGGGCCAGGCATTATATATGCGAGAAATAATTGAAATAATACAAACAGGACGTAGATGGTCGTTGCATGCCAAGTGGGATAAGCTCCATCTATTATCTGCTTCCACAGGTCACGATTCAGTGGAGATACGATCGCTCCTCCGTAGAAATTGAGACACCCCCATAAATAATACATTAGCGGAGGGAAGCCAATCATCATAGCAGTGACTCCCCACGGACCGCCGAACTCGAGGACTACTTCATTGTCTACTACTTCATCAATGTTCTCGCTGGATTCACCATTGATTGTAATTGAGGAGTACGCTGGTATCGATTGCTCTGATGATTTTAAGGGTTTCTGGCGAGACATTGTTACAGTAAGAAGAGCAGAGTGTAGAAGAGTGGATATTGACAGGATTGAATTTTGGTGTGTTTGTAACATCAAGATCCTGGGTGATGTTTAATTGCTTAATTGTTGATTTATTTAATGTGTGTTGAACCAAATGAGGAATGGATTGAAAATTAGTGCGCCAGTGGTTGTCTGATAGGTTTCCTAGTTGTTTGTCCCGTTCGTTTAACTGCGACAGTGGTACAATCTCACCTGGCACATGCACATCTAGAAAAAAAAAAGGAGATGGTATCTAATCAATATCATGCGCTGATGGTGGGACTTTGTATGAGGATAGAAAGGCTGTAAATTTTAATAGACATAAATATCTCAAATTTAACGACATATTATGCATACCTAATTCATATCCCATTTCATTTTTAATATTTCATTAAACTGATGCCACCGTTGGGCAACTGAATAAAGAGACCATTTTCCATTTACGAAAAAGGGGATGTCACACACTAGTTTTTTTTTTTGACAGGGGAGGATGCATACACAGAACGCCAAAAACATCTTTATGACACGTACGAACAAGCATAAAACGCAAATCAATCATCTCGGCAATTATTTGTATAACGACGTCGTATTTCTCTGTTGCAGATAGAATTACAGAAAGGGGGATGGTAGTGTTAGGGTTTGTTTCTATCGTGCCCAAAAAGACTGCAAATAGCATTCATTCGTTCACTTTTTGAATTCTGCTTCGTCTCGTCCCACAATGTTCTAATATTAGATTCACTTTAGGCCCTGTCGAACATGTTTGACGAATGAAAGGCAGGCGATATTCAACCCATGGCGTGAAAGTGACTATCAAATGCTCAAGTTATTAGCCATAAACGCAACGTTTTCTTTTTCAAGATCTCAAAATTTATTTGTGTACCGTAGAACTAATGTTACACTGAGATATATTCAGCGGAAAAACTCGGGTTTCGAATACGCGTGACCCATCGCATGTTGGTCGATTAGAGACATCAGCGTTTTGTTATAAAATTGCAGATAACGGGATTTTTTACTACTGTCCTAGTGCTAAAAAGAAACATATTTACCATTCAGGTATGTGTAACATAACGTGTGCCAATCCACTGGTAACACGAACGTACCTTGTGTCGCAGATCAGATATTAAGTGCAAGGACGCGCATTCAACTTGTTCAACTAGGACTAAGATACAGCCAATAATTTTACTTGCAAGAGGTGACTGAATATATGAGTGGTACAACTAAATATTTTATACACAACGAGTTGATTATCTGGAAAAGCAATGGTATACGGTACTTGGAAAATTAAACTTTTTATAGATAAATTCCCCTTAGCAATCACTATCTTGTGGGCGTTAAACATAGCTGCACAATTATAGTAGCATCTGCGGCAAGAATTACATTCTGCGTGTTACTAAGGAGTTTTTGTTAAAGATAGAATTAGAATAATTGATAGACTATTCAAACAGACCAGACCTAATCAAATCACGAACGTGTGTCTTTGTTTGTTGCTTTACATTTAAAATTAGTAATAACAAATTGTCAATTTTTGTTTAGCACCGTATTTAACTTCTTGGTATACGTCATACCGATATTATTCTGAAATTGAACAAGAAGAAGTTAGATTATATAATCTAACAAACTAATATGACTAAATTGATATAAATATTACCATATTAGTCGTCGAAACAAAAATATAATTTTGCATCCAGGTCAACATATTAATATTTATTGATTACTTGACAAGCTTACGGATTATATAAAGAGAATCAAGCACAAAGACGCCTTTATATTCAGAATACATAACAATTAAGTAGGCATACTGTATCTAACCTGTAAACTACTCGCAACAACCTTATGTTGATAGGTAGAGACTCGGAAAATCATTCGTTTCCAAGTTTATCGACAGTTTTGCAATGTGTATATTCATACAAACTCATCATGCTTATTGCAAAACGTTTGCTTAGATTTCACGCGCTATGCTATTAACATGACACGAATTAACGCCTCGTAGAGCACGATTAAGTAGTAAGATATGTCGTTCTGGTTGTAGTTTTATATGAGAACGTCCCGGTATAATACCCGGATTTTTTACAAAATCAGGCCTCAAAACTGCTGAGCGGTACTTTGCTCAAGGCTGAGAAATACGGTACGTGTAGGTTTTTATGAAAAATTATGGTGCCCAGGTTACAGTACCCCATTATATTATAAATAAAAAAAATATATTTTACCGCATGTGTTACACTAGTAGTGTTTTCTCCTTTAGGAAAAAATCGTGACATTACGCTATATGATGTAATGCGTTTATGCTTATTATTGGTTGACAAAGTACACTTCCTATTGTATAGATAGCACTGTTTACACTCGGTAGCAGTTAATAAAATATATATGTATCACAGACGCTTCTCCATCGCTTCACAACATCTCCTCGAAAGCACAAATCTTTAATAAACAATTAAGCGATCTAATACGTATACTGACTAAGAGCAGTTTGGACTTTCTACGTGGCGACGCGACCCAAATCAACCTCCACCCTGATGCTAGAAACTCCGACATCAAAGACTAATCTACGACAACTTTCTCTATCGCAGAAAAATATGTAATCATAGATGATGATGACGAATGTTATTGACCAAGAAGAAATTACCATTCCCTCATGTGGTAGTAGTGCTCAGTTTTTTATTTTGCCGCGTGGGTAAATAATCGATAAGCCTATTGGTCTATAACCAATTTATTAGGAGCTTCATCTCTGCTGGCAGGTAATAGATGCCGTTTTAAGAGTTATCAATTATTATTATCTAAGGTTATTGTATGTTTAACGTAATCGCATTATAATAATAATTACATAACCATAATAATTTGAGATATAAACAGACTAAAATAGAAAAGGAAAGGAAAATGTCATAAATAATAATATACGGACTTTTTTTTTGACGTACTAAGTGCCAATCATGACGCTAGTCTATTTCTTCGCTTTTTCGACACTGGTTTCTCTAAATAACTCGTCTAACTACTGCGGGGCATGTGGTTTAGAAAATAGAACTAGTCAATTTGGTGTCATGGTCGAAAAGTTGCTTTATTTGTTTTTTTTGCTCAAGAGTTGCAAATTGAACAATTCTAGTTATATCTTTACATGTTATTAAAAAAATACGCTCTCACACATGATTATTTAGATCTACCCCTTCCTTTGATTATTATACACTTTATGGTCATTAGTTGAGTTCTATTTGTTAGAATGAATGACTTTCAGTTATATTATCTGTCACTTGAATTGATCTCTATTCTTACATCAGCAACTCTTAAATAAAATTAAATTAATTTGTCAGTTTTGCACAATATGCCAAGCATGCAATAGTGGCATCTTCAAAAGACAGGAGTCGGGAGGCGCGCTACAGACCACTCACGAAATTGTCCTGTTTATAGCACTCGCTCATTTATTCACCATAATCATCCTCATCTTCTAACCTCCTTGCTAATTTCTTCCTCACAGGTTCACTTTCCTCTTCGCTATCATCATCAGAATCGTTAAAGAAATATGCCTCTTCGTCTCTATCCACAGTGGTTGACACCCACGCGCCCGGACGTGCCTGCTGAGGAGTTTGCTGATCGTCACTATCATTTGACATGTGTATGGATTCAGAATTATGTGATTTGTACATCATATCCATCATCTCACTCGTCCTTTCGAAACCAGCTTCTCTCAGTTGATCTGCACAAGTTTGCCATGTAGAATCTAAAAATTCATCAAGGCGCATCTTGCAAATAAACGTAATCAATTCCTGACAGGCCGAGTTTAGAGCGTTGCAGCTATGTTCTGGCATGAGAAGAACAGAGACTATGCGAGGGATGAGCTTGTTTTGAACGAAATACTGCAAATATGTTGAGTCTCTGGTACTGAGACATTTCCGTACAAAGCGAAGAGCGGCTGTAAAGGATTGGGGAAGACAGAAGAGATTAATCCTTATTTCGAGGTAAGTGACTATTAGCGATAGAATTGATGCTTACCAACTCGAAGCGGCGTAGATCCACCTTCCAATAATAAAATAATCTTATTGCCAATATCTGTATTCGCCAAGTATTCCTTGGTTCTCTCAGTATGGACTGCTACTAAAAATGTCATCAGATCGCATATGAATGTACATGAACGCATCTCGTCATTTGACATCTTTGCCATGTCTACAAGTTGAACAAAAAGGGATTTGTTACTGATGGATGATATCTTGTATGTATAAACTAAAATATGTCCTAATCATAAAAACATGAAGCGTCCAACATACCATTTTTGCTCGCTATTCTTTTTATTGGGCTGATAACTTTTCCCAATAGACACTTATAAAAATAATTCACAAAGTTATTATAAATTAAAATAGGGCGTTCGTCGTCATCTATTTCAGGCAGATCCATTCCATCTCGTTTTTGATTCAAAAATTTAAAGTCAACCAAATATTTTAATACTTCGCACGCCTTCCCCCCGACCAACAGATCTCCATGATCCTTCGTTAATCGTTCTATGACCAGTTCGAGTGAGCTGAGCGAGTAAGGTTTGAGTTCCTTATCGATCGCGCGTTCCATGAGACAGGCTGACCGGGCAATCGTCGGTTCTAATTTACAAAATAGTTCAATTATTTCAAGACCCATAAGCCGAATTTGGGGCGAGGAATGGGCGAGAACATGTCTAAAGACCATGTGTAGATTATGGTGGCGAATCATTGCTCTAGAATGTGCATGAAGTATGTGAGTATAACATAATATCAGTTTATAAGCAACTCCTTTATGTTCAACTACCTTGATAAATTCGTCCGCAAACTCGATCCTTGAGCCATGCGAAAAATCTGCCTTAAAGCTCTAACCGCATATTCTTTCTTTTTTTTCATCAACACTTGGTTCAAAACATTTGAACAATTCTTCGAAAAACTTGTGCTCTTGCAATAATTCAAATAATATTTGATCATTGGCAGAATTTATCAAAGCCCCAAGAATCGCGACGAGTGGGTCACTGGGTGTGCGGACAAGGACGGAATCTCGGATATACTGAGAACGTTGATTACGTAAAGTTAAGGATCGGAGAGTCTCGCTTTCCACCGGGACTACCTGAAGTACAAAGAATAAAAGTTTGATCAAAGCGTGTGGGGGGGGGGGGTGTGGTAAGTTAGCAAACGGGTCACATGTGAGCAACTAAAACCATTTCGTGAGCGAAAATCAAAAATTAAAAAAAAAAAAAAATCCGTGAAATAAGAGATGGCAACGCCAAGGATATTAGCGTTACCTCAATAGGCTTCATTGAAATTATCACATTCCTGTGCATATTCGAACGTAATATCGGAGACTCTGGGTCGTCTAGATGGTAATTTGTGTCGATTAGAGAGAGATGCTTGCGAAACGAACATAAGCATTCTTTGATTACAAAAGATTGCTTAAATTCACATAATCAGCTCGTTAATTGTTTCGACCCCACTTACACTCTAAGCAAGAAACAAATAGTCCAATGAATTCTTCGCTCATCAACTTCTCAACAATTTCAGTATCCTGAAATGCCGCTGGAGGTATTACAATTGCGGTTACTGTACTATTCCATTCAAAACGTTTGGATAATATACCCCCAAACAAACAACTAAAATACCTATTTAAAAAACGGCTCTACCATCTCCCTTATTCTTGCTCTAATTCTCATAGACTCACTTATTATTTTTTTTATAATACCACACAAAGTTTGCATTTCATTCACCGATCCTTCTTTCTCTATCTTCGGGAACATTTGTAGAATGTTCTCTATATACCCCTAACAAAGAAACGTAACCGGCAAGCAAAAAGGGTTTGTTATGATTGAGTCCATAAATTCACTAATAGGATTTTTTATTATGATTAATAATAGCTTTGATGTCATCAACAAAAGCTGATAAAATATTAACAATGACAGCAATAATAGCAACAGCAAATTATGGGGGATCTCAAGGCTTACAATCTTTAGCATACGTAGAATACGAGGCCGATCTAGAGCTGTGAGTTTTAATAGGTTTTCGTAAATTTGAGGAAGATTTTCGCGTTTTGGAGGTGGAAGCCAGCCTACGAGAAAAATAGAAAAAAGGTAACAACATCAGAGAAGCGAAATCATTGTGTGCGAGCAAGTTAACGATGATTTTAACATGCTTTAAAGAAGAAATACCTAAACTGGGTTCTAACAGCCGAGCCTGAATGTCGTTGATGAAGGCCCTAATGCATCATAAACATGTTATTCTCACAAATAACTTCTATTATCGATTCATATAACAATGTCAATCATTTAAAAGTTACCAATATTCTCCACATTCGCGCGCAGTCTCGAAACTCAATGCTATGTCTCTACCGTCTGGTTCCGTCCAGGACATGATCATAGCTACATGACAAAGTTTGTCAGTTACAACGTCTGCTCCTCAGGTGCGAAAAACTTTTTCATAGGGTCTAACACATACCGTCTTCTTTCTTGTACGAGACATCTCCGTGAATTATGAATTCCCATATTAGTTCATGTTCAAGGTTCACAAATTGTAGGACACCTTCGTCTTGAGCCTGTAGGAATAAAAGGGTTAGCGCAGGGGAGTCGAGTTTCCTTGAGACAGAATCAACTTGCGCTTTACCCAATTGGCCTTGACGATCGCATATCCAAATCCGAGTTTCTTCCACTGGCCGTCGCCGACTAGCTCGAACGCGATCACTTTGCGATCTGGTATTGTTAGATCCATAGCTGCCCTTTAGTTTGATTGTTACAGATACTTTTTTCTTTGCTTATAATATTCTCTTATTGACAGTATAGAGTAAGAAGAATAACTTATTGTACATGAACTGATTTTGTTATAGGGCGTTGTTGTAACAGCACGATAACGTCTCAATTTCTGGTGATCTCATTTAACATCTTCGACAACTAACGTAACCTTGGTAGCTCAACTTGGTAAGTTAATGGGCCGATCTTTTCTATTTTAGTTTAATTATTATGATTTATCTTAAATTTCAATGGTCGTGGCATAATAATAATAATTATTAGTGCACTTCATGTGATGTTGATTTCATCTCTAAGTGTAAGTGATCATCAAGCATTATAATTAGACACGTCGACGCTTTAATAATTGTCACGGCTGATGGTGAAATCGGCTGATGGTGAAATCCACGTGATCTTTTTTATTACCTAATAATCGTAGGGGATAACAGCCAGTAGTCTCAAAAATCACGTCATACCACATCATCGTACAAAAATCCCATAACAAAACGTTTATACGAAATATCGATATTCTCTATTTTACTTCAAGCACTTAATTTACATATTTTTTTACAGTACATTAATGCATTACACCAAAACGCTTTGTTATTGTATCATCGTAACATTAGGTCGATGAGTTTGCTTTGATAGCCAAAGTGCAAGTAACATTGATCGAAGAAACCTTCTTACTTAAAGCTATCTTTACGTATTCCTTTTTACTAATTGTCTTGATGGCTTTTTAGTTAGCTTAACTGCTCGTTCAGCGCTTCTTCTTAATAGC